TGCGGGTATACAAAAGTGATTGAACCATAATTACAATCGATTTTGATATATACTAAATAATTGATTTTATTTTGTAAAAATAATCAAGAATCATTTAAAGGTGGATTTTAGATCAATTTTAAAGATAAAGTTGATTTCTGGTCATGCGATTGCATGATAACAATGATAACGTTCACAAATTATTTTCACTTCTTCCCAGAACTCAACCTTCTCTTTAAGCCTTGATGAATCATCCCTCAAAAGCAAGAATATATTATAAGTTATTTTGGAACAGATGTAGTTCAATAATGTTGTTAATATCAAGTCACTTGATCAGGTGCAGAGCTCTCTGAGAAGCTGTGTGATTTCTGTATCCATAACCCTTTTTCATTGTACTTTGTTTGCTGTCTATCCAGTGTACGATGCAAGGAAAAAGTTGTACACAGAGTTCTACAAGACCTACGATGCCCAGGCTGACTTTGAGAGGATGAGAGAGCTAGGTGTATTCCAGTCAGCGAGACCGCTCAGTGAGGAGGCAGAATAACCTTGTCATCCAAGTTTCTAGTTAGCAAAACTTTTTCAATTCAGGTGAGATTAGGCTTCTCGGCAGGAATTTGTTTACCCTTCTTCCTGAATGAATCTTGAAGTACCAAATGATTGCTGAAATTAGCTGAACAATCATTTCAAAAGAACATGTGTAATGCCTGAGAAATATGCAAAGTAACATTAATAGCTGCCCCAACTAATGTCCATAATTTTGATCTCCTCTTTGCTAAATTTATTTGGTTTACTTTTTCTTCTTCTTCTTCTTGGGCTTCTCTGAATTTCCAGACTGAAAACTATTGGGAGTAAGGTATAATTTTGGAGTTGGTATTCAAATTGACATGACAATAAAATAAAAGCAGTCATTGCTTCTTCACAAGAGCATTTGTGTTAAATATTGGCTGTAGGCTGTAGCTAATAACTTTCGCACTCTTTCATGTATTTAGTAGTGTAATTGGAAAACCGTGCAGTTACATACACATTCTCTCCTTTGTTAACCCTAATAAGGCCGGGGGGGGGGGGGGCATTGTGGCCCCCCTCCATGATTTTTCTGATTGCTTGGGAACGCATATGGATGGCGCCCCGCCGCTCGCTGCATTTTTACTTTAGAGTCTTGCGCAACTTTTAAAAGAATTTTTTTGAAAATCGGACCTACGGTTACAAGGTCACGTGACCTTTTGTCTTTGCATGTCAGCCCGAAAATCGCTCATTTTCGTGATTTGTGTAAAAAACATATATGGGAAAGTCATTTTTCCTAAAAACAGATCAAACGTGGGTTATTGGGTCTTGTTTAAAGTTTAGGTGGTTGTTTTGGGAGTCAAAATAGTTGAATTGTAGTAGGAAATGAAATAACAAAACAAAAACAATGAAATACATAAGTTAAAAAAACAATGAAATACATAAGAAATTATCAAAACAAGGGATAACATAAGGAATAAGCTGTTTCTTCCAATTTTTGTTGTCGTAATATTATTCAGAATGGTCTAATGAATATATGTAGTGAAAATGAATGTTTAAATATGAATAATTTATGATTTAATGGTAAAAATGTGATTTGTATGACTTTATTTGCATAAATTACCATAAATATGCAAATGAGTGAATTCTTCAAAAAATTGAAATTATCATATTAATCTATACACTTCACTTGACATGCGTGCAAATTTTCGCGGCGATCGGCCGCTTTGTGGCCGAGATCTTAAGGAGGGGCCATAATGCCCCCCGGCCGTACTAAGACCTCGAATAGCCCGGCCTTTTTAGGGTTAATGCATTCTTTCACAAAACGTCATTCTGTTTTGAGTTTTGACTGGTGAATGAGTCGATTCAGTTTAATTTTATTTCATTCAGAAAGACAACATTACATATAACGATCGGATATATTAAACATTAAATGCATGTTAAGAACATAATTGGACAAGGACAAAACATAAACTGAATAGGCTGCAACCTGAAAGGAAACATAATCCTTAAATAAAGGTTGATTAAAAGGTTACATAAAAATCAGGTTTAATGTTGTGATATCTTACTGGCTTTAAGGGGTTGACAACCCTACTACCTGTCACCAGTTTAAGATCATTTCCTTGTTTCTCTCTCTCTCTGTGCAGGTGTATTATAGGAGGAGTGTTCATCATGCAATATTGTACAGAGGGGACTCCACTGCATGGTGAGCACCAGGACAACCAACGTGGGATCATCTACAGAATGTACCACAGTGACCAATCAGAAATACAACAAACCTGTATTATCACAGCCATCCTCTTCAAAGCAAAATATGTAATGGTCAAAACGATATCACCTTGACCATGACAGTGTGATTATAATGGTCAAAATTATATCAGCTTGACCATGACAGTGTGGTTGAAGTGACACCTTTTCTTATCAACTGGGGGAAGAAAAGAAAAAAGATTCTTTATCCCCAAATTCAAGATGAAAAAGTAAATTTACTGGATGATGTATCTAAAATTCCAGATAATTCACTAATTGGTCTTTTGTGTGACACCACTCTTTTAGAAATGTTTTGTGTGAGTATGGTCCCCATACATTGCTGTTGTTGTGCAGTATGTTGCTATAATTATTATAATAAATGATTTATTGAACTAAACGAACAGGGTTCTGTGTTTCTTTCTATCTTCATGTACATTGAAAGGAGAGACAGTGAGAAAATAGAGGGAGAAAAAGAGTTGGAATCATAGATAGTGATTGACAGAGGGAAGAAGAAAGAGAGAGAGAAGAGAAAGGAAGGAAGGGAGAGAGAGAGAGAGAGAGAGATAGGGAAAGAGATGAGATAGGTGGAAAGAGATACGGTATCAAGAGTAAGAGTTAGACAAAATATGTGTGTTTAGTGACTGTTGGGTGTATGAGAGAGATTGAGATAGGGAAAGAGTGATGACATGTCTAGAAAGAGAGAGAGAGAGAGAAAGGGGGAAAAGTGTGTTTAGCGACTGTTGGGGGAGAGAGAGAGAGAGAGAGAGAGAGAGAGAGAGAGAAACAGACTCACAGATTGGGGAGAGAGAGATTGAGATGAGGAGAGAGTGATGAGATATCTAGAAAGAGGAGAGGGAAAATGTGTTAAGTAACTGTTGGGTGTATGAGAGAGAGACAGATAGACAGATGGATTGCGAGGGAGAGAGATGGGGAAAGAATTATGAGATATCTGGAAAGAGGGAGAAAAATGTGTGTTTGACTGTTGGGTGTATGAGAGAGAGAGAGAGAGAGAGAGACAGAGAGAAACGGACACACAGATTGAGAGAGGGAGAGAGAAAGGTATCAAGTAGAGAGAGATTTAGATTAGGAAAGAGTGATGAGATATCTAGAAAGAGAGAGAGAGAAAATGTGTGTTTACGTGACTGTTGGGTGTATGAGAGAAAGAGAGAGAGAGAGAGAGAGAGAGAGACAAACAGACACACAGATTGACAGAGGGAAAGAGAAAGGTATTAAGTAGAGAGAGATTGAGATAGGGAAAGAGTGATGAGATATCTAGAGAGAGAGAGAGAGAGAGAGAGAGAAAATGTGTGTTTAGTGACTGTTGGGTGTATGAGAGAGAGAGAGAGAGGAAGAGAATCAGACACAGATTGAGAGAGAGGGAGAGACAGAGACTAGAAAGAATGTGTATAAGGTGAGGGAGTGTGGTTGTACAGAGGAAGGGGATGAAGAGAGATTAAGCAAGATGGGGACAGAGGGAGTAATCTAGAGCGAGAGACCGTGTGTGATACTGTGAAAGAAAAGCAAGGTAGTATGTTTTTAAAAAAATATATATATATTCAGCTAAATTAATAGAGAGAAAAAAAGAATAAAATGGAGCTAGTTAAGAAGATAAGCTATGTGATGAAAAGCTTTTTATTTTTTCAAAGGGAAGGAAAAGATAAGTTAACCTAAAACGGAGAAATATCAGAATAAATTTAGAACAAAACTAGCACTTTGCTTTGCTTATTTATATTTAAGCAATTAGTTATAAAGGAATTGGAGATCGAGGGCCGCTTTGATCACCATTGAGGGTTGTGGAATACAGTGGAATTGATATAGAGTCTTGGTTTATAATTGTGCAGTCTCGGAGTCCTCACATGTACAAATATATATGCACATGTAACTAAACTGATATTGATAAGACTGGGATCATATCCTTTCGACAAGTCCCAACTCGCTAAAAGTAAGACTTTTTAAAAGTAAAATCTGTCGTTCCTAACAAAGGTAAGAGCAAAACAGGGTTTGAATAAAAGTAAATTTTAGAAAGTAATACACAACCAATATATTATTTAACACATATTGAGGTATATGTTTCTCGAATTGGCAATAAACAAAAGCGTCCGAGGATGAGACTACTCAGATCAGATCTTCAAAATATGTGTTGAAATAGCAGACATTCCTAGCATACACGGCCACGGAGGAGTTTTCAGGCTAAAAAGGCTGAAGTCAAAGCAATTAGTTTGGATCCCGTCGTAAGTATAATATAACTATCATACCAGGGGTGTATTATTATGCTCCCGAAATAGATAAATGAAAAGTTGTTTTGATGAACGGCAACTCATTCTAACAACATAATTATGATGATGGATTTATGCATGACTCATGTCAAATACCAGTGACCCCGATCGAGTGCAGCTGGTAGCCGGTAGCGCGCCGGAACGCTTGCCTTCGAGCAGCATGCATTGCAGGGCTAGCCTGTATAAATCTATCTAGGGCATTTATGGGTTATGCGAAGCTCAAAAGTCTCAAATGATCCAGCTTGTAAACTATTGGGTGCAGGTGACCAGTAGGTATGTGGGTGTGTGTCAGCTTTGTGTGGCCGTGGGGGAGGGGGGGGGGGGGGGGAGCTAGGGGATGATGCAATTGCTCATTTTCACCAATCAGGGGTGGCGAATTAGATTAGATTATCAAATATCATTATAGACTCTATACAGGGTACAAGGCCAGGCACACGTGTATACATTTGTGTGGTTTTGAATAAATGAACTTGAACTTGAACTTGAACACACAGTTTTCTGAGCATATATGGTAATTGATTTTATCTGTACCTTAAATAACAATGATTTACATGCAAGTATTAATTAGTTTGCACTTTCGTTCTTCCACAGCTACTGAACCGCACCCCTTCTCCCACCCCACCACCCTATCGATCGTTTCTACCATGAGTCAAGCCACCCCACCCCCTTTCTTCACCTGGGTATCAAGCAACCTAGCGGCTCATGGGATGCCTTCCAGTCCGGACCAGATGCGCTACCTAGCAGACAACGGCATCCGCTACCTGATCTCCCTGACGACGGAGTGTCGCCCCCCTGTGGAGGCCACGCCCAACGTCACGTGGGTTCCCATTGGTATAGATGATTACCATCCCCCCACGCTGGAGCAGGTGGTGGAGTTCATGAGGGTGATGGAAGAGGCAGAGGAAAAAAATGAGGTTTGTATTTTAAAGCCCCACTGCACTACTTGTAGCTACTGGTTCCCTCTATACAGTGCATCCCAGAAAAAACGAAACCGAGAATTATCGATGTTTTATCATAACTTAGTCACATTTATATTTAATAAATGACACATATTTGGAAAGCTTAGACCCTCCTCTTTCATTTGATGCATCTCATATGATGCATATTTAATGCATGAGTGATTAAAATGAATTTGACGAGAGGAAACCCAAAAGTAATTTGGTGGACGGTATCTGAATTTCAAAGAGAAAATCACATTTCTAGAAAGTTGAGTTTCTGTCCTTTCATATGACACCTCAATCAGGAAAAATGAGTAAGGAATAACAAAGTTCTGTTTGTTTAAAGTAGTGCTTGCATTTCCATAATTTTATCAAACAAATTCGTTTTCACTGGCTGCCTGCCATAGCAACAAACGGAATTAACAGAAGACTTAACTCTGTTTCGTTGACAATCGGCCATAGACGAAAGACTTCATGCATGGCTGATTGTCAACGAAATGGAGTTAAGTCTTAAATTGTCAATCCTTCCTTCCTACGGCAGGCAGCTAGGGAAAACGAATTTGTTTGATAGATCATCTTTATAATTCCACGAAAGCGATTTTTGATTTTGCAATCGCCCCTGTGAGCAACCTGACGGAGGCGATTATGTAGCTCACGGGGGCGAAATCGCCCACCGCCCCCGTGTATTTTGAGCCTTGTTCCCAATCCTCCCTCTTTATCACATGGTGCAACTGCAAGCCTACTGTATAACTTTTGATATATTTGTATAGGCCTATAATAAATGCCAATTTTTAAGAACTATGAGCTGACCAACTGAAATACAACCATGGAAAACTTTTTTTCTTCTTATTTTGTACCTCTAGGCTGTTTCCGTTCATTGTTTGCGTGGAAGGGGAAGGACAGGGACCATGGTGGCCTGCTATTTCATCAAGATGCAGAAAATGTCTGCCGCAGAGGCCATAGCAGAAGTGCGCCACCAACGGCCTGGCTCTGTAGAAACGGTGGAGCAAGAGAATCTTATACGAGATTATGAAACATTCATCAATAAACCAAGTATATGAAATTGTACTCAGGTCGACCTTATATGTAGCACAAATGACCTTATCTGTAGCACAAATATTGAGAGTGATGTCTAAAGTAGGATCTTATACGAGATTACGACACATTCATCAATAAACCAAGTATATGAAATTGTACTCGGGTCTACCTTATATGTAGCACAAATATTGAGAGTGATGTCAACAGTAGTACTGTAAATGAAAATGTTTAACATATTGGGTACATGAAGTATGAAAACATGTAGTTTTTTAATTTTAAAGTGCTGATATTTTAAATGAAATTTTAATGGTGCATGACATATGAAATACGGTATGTAGATTTTAATGTTTTTAAAGTGATCTTGTACTCAGGTCAACCTGATATGTAGCACAAATATTGAGAGTGATGTCAAAGGTAGTAGTGTAAATGAAAATGTATATCATACAGGGTACATGAAGTATGAAAACATGTAGTTTTTAATTTTAAAGTCATGTATTATAAGTGCTGATATTCTGAATGAAATTTTAAAGGTGGATGAAATATGAAATATGCAGATTTTAAATATTTTTAAAGTGGTCGATTGTAACTGTTGATATTTTGAATGAAATTGTAAAGATACAGGGTACACGTAATATAGAAATATGTTGATTTGTGTCTTACAAATATTTTATTGTCTTTTAAGATACCAGGTAATTTTTCATAGAGAAATATATATGCAGTCAAAGTGGTGTGTATTTGAGTCTAGAATGAGAAGAAATTATTTTTGATAAATCATACGACTTGCGGTGATAGCTAGAGTATTGGACTTCAGCCTATCAAAAAGAATTAATGACAAATGTTTTCATTGCAATACCTTGCAGTGAAAGTATCTACTTCTATTCTTTTCTTTAAAACTTATTTGCAAACTCTTTGAAAGGCGTTATGACACTTGACCATTGGACATGTATGTAGGACTTCTAGTGTTTTGAACACTAGAATTCCTGTTCCACAATTAGTTGTTACGTAATTATTACTGTAAACTTTTACAGGATTTATAAAACCCATTTAAAATGTATTTTAGAAGAAACTTCAGCCATTTTGAAAGAGTTGAAGGTTATATACCTGGCATTAGTTCAAGTATAGATTCAAGCCCAGTTCAGACATGAAAATTTTAATGTGTACCTGTAATCCTGTATAATGTGTATACAGATCATTGAGTACTTGTGGGCACCTGCAGCTGTCAGACTTTTTATATATAATTTAATTACCGATACCTCTTGGCTCTTGGCCTGCCATTCATAGAAGACAATACTGACATGTATCAATGTTGTTTATTGAATAGCTAAAGCATGCAACTTTTTTGTTTTGATGGGGGGGGGGGGGGGGTCTGGATTTTATTTTTGTTTATTGGCAGTAAACTCTTCAATGTCTGAAAGGGGGTTGATTTTATTCTTCACTCAAGTTTGCTGCATGTTTGTGTATGGTATCATCTTGAAGTAGTGGTTTTCTACTTTGATATTCTCAAGAAATGAAATATTGAGTATTTTCCATCAAATAGGGATATTTAATGTTGTGCCTTTACATGTATATTCAGATTATTACAGTAGATATGTATAATCTACAGCATCTAGCTCTCAAGTGTACTACTTAATACAAACTTGAAGGCAATTGATAGCGACATTTATATGGCAGACTTCAAGTGCAATTACTCAGCAATATATTCATGGAAAACTTCTCATACATGTACCTACAGTACAACAATATAAATTAGATAAACAGTAATTTCAAGAAGAATAAAAATTCAACTTTGCACAGTGCAATTGTGTGTCACTGCCAAACTTGCCTGATATGTTTTTTTAAATAATTGTAAACACATTTTAATGATAAGCCTTTGACTACTGAATTCTGTGTTTCCCATAGGCTTAACACAGAGACTGCCTGGTTCTAGTAGGCAAGGGGTTGACCGTTTGTTGGCAGCACAGGTGCTGATAGAGACTTGGCCCATTTAAAGTGTACCTATCACTAAAATATGTTTTGCTCGATTGTGATGTATTGTAAAGGTTGTCATATGTTGTTTATACTCTGTACAATGAATCTATAAGCTTCAATTAGTCCTTCTACAAAGAGATATTGCAGTTTAAATACACACCCTATGAACAATAACGCGTCTTGTTGACTAGACTAAAAAACGCACACGTACGCACTCGCATTGAATAGGTCGCATTTGGAACCCAAGTCCAACTTGGCTTCTGTGCATGCCCTATACACAGGGTTTTTAATTCTTCAATTTCTTACCATTTACCTATAGAATACCAGGTAAAGGGTTTACTGGTATTAGGTTGATTTTATACATTATACCCATACACAAATTATTTGTGATTGGTACTCTTTAAAAGTGATTTCTCTATGAAGTACCGGTACATGTAGACCTTATACTTCTCTTCATGTAGGGAATGATTTGTTTTTAGCTGTCCAAAATGCTTCTCGCCAATTTTATATTTCCTTCATACTTCAACAAGATATTTCCATTTAGTCTTGTTACATTCATTAGTTAATATGTGACGCAAAGACATGCCTGAAAGTCTTTATTGTGCATTATTTTTTTTATTGAGGACTATTCTAGCTCACTGCTTCGTATTTGAATGTGCCTGTACTATTTTTAATACATGTATATCCAACTTTGTAGCTCTTCCACTTTTTAAAATTCAGTGCTCTCTGTAAACTGAAATGAAACAAATATTTTCTGATGTCTTTCTTGCATGGTATACAACAGCCTTATAATTATACATTTACCTTTTTGGATGCATGAATCCTTGATACATATGCTATACATTTTTGCATGTTAATGAACAACTGATATTCAACTGGCAACTTAAATTGAACATGGTGCAGTTTTTATTTTTTGAATGTAGATTGTACATGTAGGGACGTTTTATGAGCTGTAACTGTGCTGCTTTGAAAAGTGTTTTGTAAATTGACAAAGTTATAAACTCTCATTTTCTTATTTACTGATGATGGAATAGATTTGGTTCATACATACATGTATGTTGTATAGAAATATACTTGCAATTATTTTATTTAGGTGCTTGTATAACTGAAAATTTTATTTATGTTTGTAGTTAATTTCTCAACTTTATCATAATGTAGACAAGTAATACATGTACATGCTTTTAACATTAGGTTAAGTCACAATGAGACGGATAATGAAATCCACGAGTCTCGTTCATTATTCTAATTGAGACTTATCCTGCATACAGTGCATTATTCACTAATGAACTCGCATTCATCAATTATTTGTATACAACTACTACTAGTCCATGTTTATATTAGCAATTATGGCACATTTTCGGTACATGTTTTATTTCTCATATACACTGTATTGCCTATTACATCAAATGTTGTATCTACATAATGTTAAAGACCTGTTCACTAATTTTATGACATTTAATTTTTTTTATTTCTCTTGACAACTCTTAAGCTTGCCTAACATGGCAACAAAATTGCTTAGGAGCTGGGACATCAAGTGAATTGATATTACTAATGTTACTTTATTTAATCATCCATTGTACAGTCATGTAATTAGTAAAAAAAAAATTGAACGCCCAAAATGTATGTACACAGTACTCTTTGCTTGCCCATGCACTGTCCATTTGTAAGGTACAAGATGATAGGTGCAGAGTTCCTTACCATGTTAGATTGACTTGGTACATATGCATACAATTAAAAACTAATTTATTCATACCCCTTTTAAACTTCAAGTTTTTTATGTTTTTCTTAAAGGCCCACTGCACTACTTGTAGCTACTTGCGCCCTCTATATAACAAACAATGCCTAATCGGTGACCATTGGTCCCCCATGATCCTCTTTTTCTTATGTTAACTGAGAGCTGAGTTGATGAGATAACCACCTGTCACAGTGACCTTGATGGCTCTCTGTGTGGTCTAATCCCTTCTGGCCCAGTAGTGGCGACGATCTTTAAAATGTCATATTCTAAAGAAACATATGTCTGGACAAATCAAAGAATACTTATTTGTTATTACTCTAGATATATATGTACTGTCTGTTCAGAGCCAGAAGGGCATTAACTCAGTATGGGATTTGACCACAAACTATGAAAACATCTCAGCTAATGTTCAATACCTCACATACATTGTATGGACTACATTGATCTGAAGATCAGATTTGTAATGAAATATTGTAAGGCTATATACATGTTTGTAGCTCTTATTCATGATCTCCTACCTCAGTAAAATGTCATTGTTTTTGTGGTACATGTACAGTGTCTCATGGAGTAACTTTAAAACAAGCAGAATTACAGAGTAGGGAGGGGCATGGATAGATTATGGGGGAAGGGTATGCCCCCCCCCCTCCTCCTCCCATGTAATGTCTTTTTGGCAAATTGATGAAATTTCTTGTTAGCTTAACAGGCAAAAAGAAAAGATGGGACCAGAAAATGTCCGTTGATTTAGTCTATTAAAAATAGGGGGAGAAGAATTGAAATGTACATTATACCAGTGCCCTTCTGACAGTCATAACATATGATGAAACCCTGTAGTCTATGAGACAGCAAAGTTTTACATCTTTAGGAAGATATTTTTCTTTTTGTATCTATGCATTACTAATCAGAAATAAGAGTTCTTTACCTTTGTGTATCAACTTTGTAAACCAATACTCTGTGAATATTCCAAGAATAAATGACACAGGGTTACCAAATGATTAAGTCAACATTGTTTTTATTCTGTTTCATATAATAATTATACCACTGTACATGTAATAGAATTCATAATTTTCATACAATCATATAAAACATGCCTAATAACATTTTGTTTTGTCTCGTTAGCAACTCTATATACACACAATATAACAACATTACCCTAGTACAAGTTCCTGAATATTATATGCAATGAATATCTATAAATACACTATGTACATTTCAAATTGTTAGCCTTGCACTGCTTTTTTTTAACCCAGACCTTTATATAAAGCATCCTGTGGTATGTCTACTCCAGTTCTATCTACAGGAGCTCAATCTCATGATCCAAAAATTTGATGATTAAAAGATTTTCTTTATTTTTCATAAGGTCAGCCCCTACAATTGCAGAATTGACCTTTTTTCAGGAAAAGCAATAAATGGTAACTTACAACCATTCATTTTATATTACAGTATGCCTTCTTATTTCTCTAAAATTGGTAGCATAAATTGGATTGGACCTACAACACTGAATACAAGTATCTTTTTAACCTAGAGGAGACAAAAGTTGGAATTAACATTAGTTACATAAATAATGCTATCAACCAAATAAGACTGACCCTTTGCTTTAATTCGTACGTTTATAGGGGTAATATGAAGTCTTGCATCAAAAGTCGTTGATCAAAATGTTAATTTTTCAAACATTCTTTGTGTGTCATTTTGGAGCAGAAATTGTGTACATGTGTATTACCATGATCCTCAAAAATAGCTGGGGTGATCGGAGACTCAAGCATGAGTAATCATTGCAGCCTTTAACATTTTGTGAATATATATGTCATGTAAATGTACTATTGTTTTAGAAATAGATTTGACAGTGAAATTTACAAAAAGCACACAAGTAATATTACTGTGTCATAATTTCCAGAAAGACAAATACATGTACATACAAACCTGGACTTTCGAACATCACTTCAAGATACATGCAGCTATGATCTCCAGTGTATACTGACGCAAGAACTTTAGAAATATGTTTGCAAATACATACGGTAGTCATATGTCTGCTTGAGAATTCTATTAAATATATTTAATTGTTTTTTTTACTAGAGCTCATATGGAGATTTTCATAGCCACATGGCTCACAGCTCTCCTTCATTTTTATTTTTTTCTTAAAGCGAAAGTCAAAAGAAACTGATCTGTTCTGT